AATTTTTACTTTTTGTTTTTTGAGGCCATGACTCATTATGTTCCTAAAAATTACCAAACTGGAACTTGCAATCCTCTTGCTTACCTCTCAGATTACTGGGATTTCAGGCTTGCACTGTCATGGCTATCTTGAATACTTTCTATGACTCTAACTTGTAATGGCATTTTAGCCATATTTTTTCAATTTAGGAATCACTTTAGAATTTATAGTATACAACATTAATTTATCATGTTTCACTTACAAAAACTCTAAAATAGTCAATTTCTCTTCCCCTTTCTCTTCCTCTTTACATTTCATCTTTCTCTTTCCCTTTCTCTTCACATTTGTGCTATCTTAGATTTTACTTTTAAAAACTCCATATTACATTAGTAGTATTTTTAAAGTGTCATCCTTTTACCCCCCTAGTCACAATTTCTACATTCTTTTACTGGGACAAGTATATCAGGTTAATTCTGGGTTTTGACAACTTTAACTTTTGTGTTAAATTTCTCCATCTCAATTTCTTTTTTGCAGTACTGTTCTCATTCAAGAATTTCACTTAGTATTTCTTACAGTTTTGATCTACTGATTCAATTTCTTTTTGCTTTAAGTGAGAGAAAGAAAAATATTTTGCAATATTTCAAGTAAGTTCTGAACCATTTGATGAATAGGCAATTTTGCCTACTATTCAATTGCACGATTTACTTTTAAAAATGACACAGAAAACTTACATTTCCAGGACAAAATCCATTCTAAAACTTTCATGTATGGTGACATGCAGTCTGTCATCTTTTATATCTTAGTATAGTGACATGCAGTCTGTCATCTTTTATATCTTAGTTTTCATGGTGAAAGATTTTTTTCCAAGAATATGCCTGTGGGTCTTTCACTTCTATGATATTTGTTGTCTATATAATACTAATGAGAAATCTTTGTGCTTTTCTGCATTTATTATTCTCTTCTGTTTTAAAGAATTTTCTATCTTGCTTTTTTTTTTGTGGAACTGGGGATTGAATTTAGGCCCTTGCACTTGCCATGCATGTGCTTATTCTACTGAGCTATCTCCCCGGTACCTGCTTTGGGTTTCATTTCATCCTTCTTTTCCAGTTTATTTGGTAGAAGTTTTGTTATTGACTTGCCATCTGTAGGAGGCCCCTCCTGGTCCTTATCTCAGTCCAAGAAGTCTATATTTATAATCCCCAAAATACATTATTAGAATCCCACCAAGTTAACTCCAATTTACCACTCCCAGTGCAACTCTTGGTGAAAATAAAGACACTAAAACATATTCATTTATTTATTTTTATTTTTACTTTTTTTTCGGAACCGGGGATTGAACTCAGGCCCTTGTGCTTGCCAGGAAAGCACTTATTCTACTGAGCCATCTCCCCGGCCCCAACATATTTATAATTATAGGGAACCAAGGGGCCCAAAGTCCAGCCATGAAGATGGCTTTCCAGAACAAAGAGGCCAACCCAGGGCCACATCCAGCTTTTATTCAGTAGTGAAGGAGGAGGAGCTTGAGGATAAATGACAGAATTGTGTGTTTTTTTTGGGGGGGGTTAATGAAATTATGGTAACTTTTTTTTTTTTACATTTATTTATTGTGTGTGTGTGGCCAGCTCAGCCCACCAGGGGGCGGGGTTGGCTGGCATGTGGTGCTGGGGGATCGAACTGTGGTCCCTGTGCTTTGCCAAGCTTGTTCTAAGTAGGTGCCTCAGACCACTGAGCCATCTCTCCAGCCTCTAAATGACAGAATTGTGGGAAGTAGATGAGTACTGTGAACTGGGCTAGGTAGGTGGCCTGCATTTACCTCTATCATATGCAGAGAGAAGGATATGCAGAAAAAGTAATTTGCATTATACCATTGAGATAGTATCTAATGTTTTGGGGTCTGGTGCTTCAGCTCTGATGTGTCATCTTTCAAGCCCCAGGAAGTCATATCCTCTCTCCCAGATGACATCCTGGAGCACTGGCTTTTCATCCTGTCTCAGCCTGATTCATATTAGAGAGCAGCAGCAGTAGGTTATCAGGGAAACACTCATGCCATCTTCAAAGACTACCACCAGCACTTTGGCTAGACCAATATGCAGTGCTTAAGATCAATTGAAAGGATAAAGAGAAGTCCTAGTCAGCCCTGTACATATCAATATGAGGAAATACAAGGAAATACCTCCACAGATGTCTTTTGTCTTCTTTGATATAGTCATTTACAAATACACATTGCAGTGCTGGCCAAATAGCTCAGTGGATTAAAGTGCCTGCAAGCAGACACATGGGCATGGGGTTCAATCCCTGGGCCTGCCATGCTGGCCCCACCTCCGGGGGCACACTGAAACAGTGATTTAGACTGGGTGTGGTGGTGCACACCTATAATCCCAGCTCTTGGGAGGCTATAAACAGGAGGATCACTATAAGTCTAATCTACACAGAGAGACCCTATACACCATGTACACCCTTCCCTAAAATACAGGCAAAAAAAAATACACATTGCTTTCTTTCTGGGGGAGCTTTAATTTTTCCCAAAAAGTTTTCAATGGTAGGTTCCTATTTTCATTCTTATCAAAGTGTTTTCTAAGTTTATTTGTGCTTTTTTTTTTTTCTTGAAGCCATCAATTATTTGGGAATATGTTATTTTATTACCATGTTTTTGTTAATTTTCCAGTCCTCCTTCTGTTAATTGATTTCTATCTTTATTAAACTGAGGTCAGAGGACATGGGTCATATGATTTTAATCCTTTAAAATCTCTTGAGACTTGCTTCATGGTCTGATAAATGGTCTACAGTGGAGACCATCCCGTGTGCACTTGATAAAGGTGTATATTTTGCACTTGTTGGGTACAATGTCCTTTGGATGCATTAGTTTTAGGCTTTATAGAGCACAGGAATTAGTAATTATTTGACGGTTAACCTGTCTAGTCATTTGATCCACTACTGAAAATGAGGTATCGAAGTTGGCAGCTGTTATTGCTAACATATTAATTTCTTGCTTCTCTTTGTCAATTTTTGAGAGGGGTTGGGACTGGGAGAGGGCACAGCTGTAAGCAGGTGCTCAGGGAGGGCTGGTTGAGAAGGACCCTTGAAGGAGTCCAGGGAAGTGCTTAAGGCCACCTGGGGCCCACTCTTACCAGAGAGACACTCAGTCCAGAGCTCTCTTTTAGGAGATGTTAGTGACCTCCCTACTCAGGTCTCTGTCCCTTGCACCCCAAGAGCAGGGTCAGCCCAGGGGTAGTCACTGGATTTGATACTTTCCTCCAGCAGAGAGATCCTGCTTCACACTAGGTCTCACTTGGGAACACAGACCAGAGGTTCCTCTGCCCTTTTGCCCCTTCTAAGCTCTGCAGTTCCCTGCATGCACAAGCTCCTTCTTCATACAACAGGAAGCAGATGCAAGGTGAAAGAACTCTTGTAATACATTCTAGGTCTTCCTATGTTCCTACTGCTATTTGTAGTGTGGTAACCCCCCCCTCCCTCCTCCTTCTTTCTTCTTCTTCTTCTTCTTCTTCTTCTTCTTCTTCTTCTTCTTCTTCTTCTTCTTCTTCTTCTTCTTCTTCTTCTTCTTCTTCTCCT